CATTCCGTCGACTAAACGAAACTACGCGACCAATCCAACCGCCGAACCAGGCCCAGGTGTCCTTGCATCTTGGAGAGGATTGACGCCATCGCCACAAGGTGACATTGGTCATCAGAATTACAACCTGCCTGTCACACCTGCTGCCCTTCGACCAAGACATTTACCCAGAAAACCCAGGGCGCCACCCCGGGCTACTAGAACCTTAAGCTCTAGGATTTGCCATACCCACGGACCGACCGATAAGCGATCTTTCCGGGGCCTTTAGAACGCCAAGATTCGTTATTTGTATACCCCCGTGATCGAGACTGCCTAGGTACACATCCTAGCCAGTAGCTTCGCAGAGTTCTCTACGTCGCCCCCCCCGGGAGTAAAGCAGTCTGTAATTAATATCTTTATTGAATATAATAAAGTATGAACTAAATTAATTCATTTCATAAAATATAATATTTAGAAGTTATATTTGACTCAATCAAAGAACTTTTGACTTGTTGAAAAATATAGCTGAATACAAGCATCGTGAATCCTTACCCAAAGCATAAAAAACTTGTGTGTACATATAACTATAAAGATTTTTCTTCTTTTATCATTTGTATGCATGCTGCAATAGCACTTTAATTTCGGTCGGTAACTTTTCATTTCATTTAATTCGACCAACGCGGGAAATGTAGTTTATATCATATTTAGAGTTAGACTTAATTATTTTTCTAACATTATTTACTTTTAGGTTTCAAATGAGAGACATGAGACTTTTTCTTTTACTTAATCATTTACAGGCAATTGTGTAATATTTTCTCTTTCCTCACTACGTGCCTTCTGATGTAACTAGAAAGCACATCGAGCTAGCAATTAGAAGACCTGAAGTTCGAGTCCCGAGTTTCTGTTCTGAAAAACCATAATGACTCTATAAGTGGTGCTCAAACTAAAGAAAAAACGTTGCTGAACTATAATTCGTCACTACCAGGGTTTTGCGTTTGAGTCCCAGTCTCTCCAGTCCCTATTTAAGTGGAGGAGAATGTAAGGTATTTTTCCCTCCTTACCTCCCGTCTTTGCGGTGTAAGTGGAAACATATCCGGCTATCAATCGGAAGTTCGGTGTTCGAATGACACTGCACATTTTTCATGTCTTCCGCTTAGAAATAAAATGCCTAATAACTGTACGATTTCTAATAATCTTAATTTTAGTTTAATGTTAGTGAAAATGTTGCAAATATTGGAAAAGCTAATTGTATATTTATTAAAATTATAGAATTTATAGGAATACTCTAGCACTTTGGAAAAATGGAAATGCCTAAGAATGGTTAAATTGAATCAGAATCGGGATAAGGGTGAGGCAAGTGAGGTACTTGCCTCAGGTGAATCACTATAAGGGGCTCCAAATTGGCTATACGAATTCGAAAATTACTTTAATTACGTTTTTAAATTTGTCAGTTATCATTAGGGGAAATAAGCTTCGGCAAACTTAAATTAATAAAACAATAGGAAGAATTGCAAGAAAACCTGGAAATTAATGCAATATGCATTTCGATGTTATTTCTTATTTATCAAAAAAGATATTTTTTAACATTTTCATTTGAAAGTTATAAATAATTGGTTATATTATTTTTCTGAATTTATAAAGCTACGATTAAAAAATACTTTAAGAATTATGGTATAATTATGCTATAAGAATTATGATATTTTGATTTAATACATTTACTTTTGTTTAATACAATTATAGGTATTTATATATATACATATAGGGGCGCTCAGTTACCTTTTTGTCTCAGGTGAAAAAATATCTTTGCACGGCTCTGAATTGAATATCAGTCTTTTGAAGGCTGCAATAATACTTACATTATTAGAAATAGAAGCTTTAATAGCCATACTAAAAGTGCCGTCATCAGTTTCCTTATAATGGGGTGTAACAAGAATTCTAAAGTATTGTCGAGATGAGATGCAGAGACACGGAAAGAGCATATGTGGAGTGTAAAATTAAAACGCTGGGAACGAAAGTACAATTTTCGAAACGCTATGAAAAGCGATGAAAGTGGAATTATGAGTACGTTATGTATGAGTAATTTTATTGTAGATGAATTGGATCCAAACATCATTATGCGTTAATTGTATTTGACATAGATAAGAAATATGTATTAACTGAGGTCTCATGCTATTTTTATGGTATTAGGTACTTTTAGCAATACTAAGTTGGTTTTGAGGTTTACAAGTTATTAATACCCACTTGTTCAGATTGAACATAAGCTTGATTTTAAAATTAACATAGAGAAGCATAAGATACTGAAAACTTTACATGGTTTAATAACTAATCAAACTAGGTAAATATGACAAAGACCTTGAAGACTAATTAGAGACAAAATATTACTATGTATCTCTAGCATAAGTAATTACCCTTTCGCCTAGAAAAACAAAAGAACATCTAAAATAACGTTTTATGTAAACAATTTCTGAAAAATACATTTTTCCGAAGGACAAACGTCATAGCGCTCATTTAAAACTTTTACGTTATTCAGATTTAAATAAGTAATTTAGCTTCACTTATCGCTGTTGATGGCTCTGGAAAGACAAATTGCTACAACCGTTATTCAAGCATAGACAATGGCAGGAGCATTAACTATAAGTTGCAAGCCACAAAAGCAAGTGATGAATAATCAAAGCAATTAAAGATACCATAATTTTGAATTGCTTTTAACGTCTTCTTATTTAGCTGCTAGTATGCTCATGTCTAATGTACGCTAATATGTTCATGTTTGATGTCTTGTTGATATCATAATTGTTCTTTGATGTCATGATGGTGTAACATGTTCATGTTTGATATCTTGAAAATAAAAAATCGATAAATAAGATATAAAATTAAAACGTTTAGTTACAGCTCACTTTCAGAAAATTAAAAAAAGCTGTAAAAGAAATAAATGTTGCGAAATGACTGTTTTTTATTTATAAGTTATAATTAAAATATAAATGTGGTTATAAAAATTAGATTTTCCTTCCCTATATTGCTAGTGGGGTAAAATTTTGATATTGCTTGGTTCTTTACAAATATCAATGTAACAATACTTAATCTAATACCTTATACTTCTATCAAATAGGCTTGATAATTAACCTAGAGAGAAGCTTGGGAAATCAATTACTCAATAGCGAAACCATCTGTTAGTAGAGATTATGGGAGCTATTTTTCATCTGCAATTTCAAAAGAGTTAAATTTAATTTATGTGGACTATAGGAAACGTGACACTTGTTTACATAGTAAATACAGTTTTAGAAGACTCCCTCAGCTTTACTATTTGATCGCTAAACCTTTTTTAAAACTTTTGTAATAAGAGTGTGTTTGTAATTTTTCTAAGTTATTACAACTCAGACAGGGAAACGTTTCTTTCTTTCTTCGTGAATAAAGTAGAGGGTTCTACGAAAACTACAGTAGTTCAAAAAACTACAGTATTCCAGATTTCGTAAATAGCCACTGAAATTGTGACTTTTTCACTCTCTTAATTCCTTTAATTGCTGATTTAATTCGTACTTGAATGTCTGTTGCGTCCTAATTTTCTCTCTTTTGTTCTTGCATTAGCCTTTTTTGTGCTTATAGGTTTTGCTTAATTAGAATTTGTTTCGTATGCATTTGGCACTTTTTTCCGATACTTATTAAGATAAATGAATTCACTTGTGGTGATGAAAGAATAAAATTCTCAATATATGTTTCTTAATTGGTCTTCAGTCTCATTCTTGCAAACAGAATGTTTATGATTTTCAATGTATTTACTGATTATATATCTTCATTAATTGAACCAGAGTAATTTAAAGAGCTTTGCAACATTTCATAATTAAATGTATCTTTAAAAGACTATTTTGGGGAAGACAAAAATGAAGATAAAATTTTTATTGTAAACAAACCTTCTTCGATTTCGTTTTTTATTCTAAGTAATTTCTAATACCAGTTTAACAAATCATTAAACAGTATCATAACATTCTAAGCAATCAAATGTTAACTGAATAACAATTATACCCTGCCCTTAAACCATAATATTAATTTTCAGTCAGTCTAGTTTATAGTTTCTACTTTCGATTTAAAATATAGATATTTTATATACCAACATTTAAACAAATTTACGTGGGGTTCGGCGTAGTTGAAGAAGTACTTGTCGATACAATACTCTACTCGAATGGCTTTTTATTAATATTGACTAAATATTTTCATATTTTTATATTAGTAATGGCAAATATTCATCTGTGTTAGATACTTCTACAGAATACATCATGTTTTATGTAACCAATAATTATTGCATTTTTGCATTATTTCAATTTCACTGAGAATAAATGATGTCATGTAATGTTTCCACGGATTATATTAAATATTACGAAGCATTTATAAATAAGGTATGCGTATTCGTCTAATAAACAGTAAATCTATAACACAAAAAATTCTTCAAAAAAATATGTTATTTAGACCAGTTAAATAATACTAATGTATCATTTTTTCAATTTCAGTTGCGTAATAAATGTACGGAATGTAAATGAATAATGTTTCTTTTCATTTGATAAATACCTGAATGAAATTTATTTTTAAATATAACTTTCATAATCGTAACGGACTTAAAAAGGAAATACAAAACATTTCTCACCGGGCATAATTTGAGCGCTAAAGTATGATATATGCTATAACTCTCTCTCTCCCTCTCTCTGTTGGTTTATATTAGTTAACGTATTTCTGAAACTTTATGCATTTTACCAATGCGATATCACGCTATAATGAATGTCATGTCCTTAGACTTCTCAGTTTTTAGGAAAGAGTTTTCTAAAATTTTCCTCATTTACTCAATTTTCTGAACTGATATGAATACCTAAAATCCTTAAACATTGATTTATTAGCATTACTTAGCAACATTGTTTAATCTTTATTAAACACTTACACTAAAGAATGACTATAAACAAGTTAAACTATTATGGAGAAGGATTGGATAAATGCGTTAATTCCCAGAACTAATTTATAATATCTCTTCTCTTTCATGATAGGTGTTCCAGATCCTCCAGAAGCACTGGAAGCGCTTAACGTGTCCCATAACGGAGCCGTGTTAAGATGGTCTCCTGGCTTTGATGGGGGACTTACCCAATCCTTTCAACTTCGGATTCGTAAAAATCAAGCCATGCCTGTTGCATTTGTCCACATCCCTATGAACTCCACTTCTTATATGCTAAGCGGTCTCGAACAGGGAACGTCATATGAAGTGTCTGCTGCCGCGAAGAATGCTTTGGGAGAGAGTTCTTACACTGCGCCTATAATACTGAGGACTAGAAGTGAGTTTCTTTGCAAGCTAAGCTAATTTGCTTCCGCTGCAACATATTTTATGGATTACTGTGTAGAATTCTTCCAACTATAAATGCGTTTCAGTTACAGAGTTATTTCATATGTCATGAGAAAAGTTTTAAGAGTAAAACTTTTGTGGTAAATCATAAAAGTCCTACTCAAGTATAACAAACCGAATTATTGCTTGTAACTCTCCCACCCGTTATGAGCTAATATCTAATCCTTTAATATGTAAATTGCTAAAAATTCCGTTAAATCTAGCATGAACGTCTATCAGTTGACCACAAAATTTATGTAGTAAATAAAACTATTAAAATATTTATTTCCAGTGAATAAAAGCTTAAAACTAATTGTTTTATGTTATACAGGATCCCCCCCCAAAAAAAAGATCCGTTCATATCTCTTTTACTTTGAAGTGAACCATCCTAAGTATCCGTGTTAATCTCTTACCTCTGTAGAGGAGGATCTCCTCAGTTGAATAAAATAATCTTACCGCTGAGTAATACAAGATAAATGACGTTATCAAATCTTATTCTGCAACGAAGCTAGAAAAAACAGAAACCGACTGGTTCAAAAGTTGTACAATAACTTCTGACTATTGTGATCAACAACCAGAAGTTCATTAATAAGTAGCAATTGCCAGTTTTGCCAATATAAATCAATTATGAATGCACTGCTCTGACACGGAGATAATAATACGCGAATTATTATAATATTTAATATGTAGGCCATATGTGATATATACATGTTTACATTTTGTCACTAATGTTGAGATATTATATTCATAGTTTCCAGTTTCCGTGCTTAAGCTTGGAATGACAATGGGGTAATCCAAAACGGAAACTCTACAATCTCTCTAGTACTCAAACGTCTAGCATACCAAATCAATGGCATTGTCCTGCGACACTTGTATGGTTGGAACGGGAAAGTATATTGGAAATCGTCCTGTCAGTTAAACTCAAACAGAACAAAAAGACTTAACATACCGCCTAAAAGTGTCTTTGGCATCATGACTAAATACATAAGATAAATAAAGTCACTTGCCGTAAAAAATAACGCCATAAAGTATCATTATCTCACACTGCTAATCGGACGAGTAGCTCTTCATTAAAATATTTGAATTATTTGCATGTTCAACGCTGAAACCACTTCTCTACTTTATCAAGAGCTGCCTTTTAACGCCCTTGATTAATAAACCCATTTGGCAAACCTTGATGTTACTGTATTTAAATAAATTCTTGAGTACGTGTTTCCCATCCCAAACTTCAGCACGCAGACGTTGAGAAAGATACGGGCATTAAAATTTTAGAGCGTGTAGCAAATTTTGAACATGCATCACGTGTGAAAGAAATATCATCAAAAGTTCGAAATTCGTCTATGACTATGTGTCAAAGCCTGATTATATAAGAATTTTGCTGTTGACTTTTATTCAATGTCATATAACTGAGAAGTATTGCCCCTTAGAATGAATTTCTGAATGCCAATTCATATATACAATTTCATAACTGCTTTTTTCTCCAACTTAGCGTCATGTTTATATATCTGCCTTACCCATTAACTGCAAATTTAATTATATTCAGGAACCTTTCCTAACAAAATAAAATGTGAATACAGGCTTTCCTTTGATCTTATATATACAGGAAATTTCAATGCAAATTTGGGAGATTTGCTATACATTATAAGAAACGCTTTACAGAATAAAACAAACATTAGAGGATAATTGCTCCCATTCCGTAAATAGAGCGTCTACAGCTGCATCGTAAATTTATAATTATGGTTTTTATTTTTTATGCATATTTCCTATCTTTTTTAGAGTTGTACACAATAGTCAATAATTTACTTAAATAAATGAGTAATAGATTTGAATTTGTAAAGATTGTTTACATGTACATCTTTCTGTATTTTTTCTGCTTTCTCAATCAGCTTTGAATTATCACATGAAAATTGTGTTTCGTAATCTCATCACTGTCGGTGCTACATATACAGAGATTACTCAGGTAAAGAGCAAGGTATTCTGCCTGCACGCGTCCGGTTTTTTAGGCTACTCTCTCGTAAGCTATTATTACGCTCGGCCGTACTTTGGGGCACTTGATCTGTTGGAATCTTGATAGCTTCGGTTATATCTCTTTAGTTAAGATTAGTTTAGTTTGATTCTTAGTCTCTTAAGTTCAATCCCAAGTATCGGCTTTATTGTACAACTCCAAGATGGAGTTCTGTTAAATCTTATTTGAATAATAAAGGGTCTTTTAACCCTTTCCAAGTTTACTTATTGTCTCACGAACTCAAGCGATTATTCGCTTACTAGCTCTTAAGATTCTTCGCTTTTAACTGTAACTTAGAATTACACAGTGGAGAATTCAACAATGTTTTGCATAACGGAAGTGCGGGTAAGCCAAGCGTCAATGATGAAAATGCTTCCGCCATTGGATTTTGCGTTTTTATGCAGTCTTAGTAAATCCATTTGCCTTGCCATCCTGTAATAAAGAATTCGCAGGTCAACTACTCATAAAGTTGCCCATGGGTATAAATTGCAGATCTATCAACATATCAAACCTAATTATCCAGTCGTTTGCAAGGAATTTTGTGTAGACATTCTTGATCGTATCAATAATGATGATCAGTTTCTGCATAAAATCGCATTCGGTGATAAAGCAATATATCATGATTGAGGAGAGGCTTATCGACAATGTAGCCAAATCGTTTTTTTTTTTTTTCCAACAGAATGGCGGCCCCTGTCATTAGGATACACATATATATGTGTTACTTGATGAAACATTCCTCTGTTGGACTAGTAGAGGTGGAACAATTTCATGGTCACCCCGTTCTGCGGACGTCACACTACCCGACTTTTTTTTCTGGGGACACCTGTAGAACCGAATTTATGCTGCAGATATTCTTATCATCGAAGAATTAAATAGTCAATACACTTCAGAAACAGCTACTGTGACTCCGCAAATGCTTAATAACGTCTGGAGGGAAATCGAGAACAGACTTTATATTTCCCAATATAAACAGCATAAGCACCATTAGTTTATCGGAACATATAAGATCTGTTGTCGATTTCCCTCCAGACGTTATGTTAAGCGTATTAATACAAAATTCTTTGAAATGCTAAATAAAGTTCAATCAGTCTTTTCCCCTATCTTTTATTCTGTATTACTTAAAACGTATTTTTATCCAGTGAATAAATTGCGGATACCCTCTATAATGTTAGCTAATATTGTAGAATGTCCAGACCATTAAAATTACAGATACACCTCAATACTTGCATCTTTTCACCACATCTAAAATTCGTCGTTTCGATGGATTTTAATTCCAGTTTTAAAATAATATTTTACGACTTTTATGACTGGTAACTATGATTATGCTTTTTTCAGTTAAACTTTAGATAAAAGCTGCTGTTCGTATAAATTTTAGTAGTAAGCTACATATTTCAAAAGATTGCATTTAGACTATTAGCCAGGAAAAAGGAAAGTACTACAAAATGAAAAGTAAGAGAGCAAAATGTAAATTAAATAAGTAAAAGGGACAATAGAATCTCCAGAACTGACTAATAGTTGTACTTAAAGTCCTGTAATTTCAATTCCTTTTAGTATATTCTTTTTTGACCAAGTGCCTGCATACAGCGTTTCTTCATATTGCTGAAATATTTTTAAATCTCTATTTGAAATATTTTCGGGTCTCTTTAGAAAAATAATTAAAGTTTTTCGATACGATTTTTATGCGGCTTCCGGTTTATTTACTTCTTTATGAGTGTAAATGAATAAAGTACTATATGCAACAATATCGCATGAATAAGGATTGTAGAGCACAAGTAATACGATCTCCTTTTCAATAAAAACTTTAAAATAAAAGATCGGAGTGCTTTTTAATTAGCTGCATTGTCATAATGCAAGAGTCAGATCTACCAAATTAATATTCCTACGTTGATCTTCAAGAAATCCCTGGCAGAGTCCTCAGCCAGAAAATGGCTGTCTACCAGCGTACTTTTCAATTCTTGAAACTATTTACGTATTCTCAAAACCTGTATTCCATCAACCTTTTTTATTTTGAAAAGCTTCCTCGGACATTTTGACAGTCTCAAGAAACTTTTAATCTGAACATCCCTCCTTACAGAACGAAATAAAATTACGTAGCTGTCTTTCTTCCGTAACAATTGTTTCAACCTGACTCAAAAGAAAGGGGGGAATCGAAACATACATGAAACTACTTTGGGAAAAAGGAAGAAAAATCACACAATATCCTTAGCAGGTTAGTTCGCGGTAAAACGATTCCTGTTTTTTAGTAATTTAATCTTCAGCATCATATGGTCCATTGAAATTTCTAAAATTTGTTTAGAACCCTAGTTTAAAATAATTATGCGCGTTCACATTCCTTTTTATTTCACTTTAAAAGAACCATAAAGATTAGCAGGTCATTTTTGTTTTAGTCATACGCTAATTGTGTCTAATTATTTTTTTACTTCTTAATAATTATTCTTTTACTTCTTGATTTTGCTAATTGAGTTATGTGCATATAATGTTTATTTCATAAACTAATATATAGTTTATGACATTATATTATTATAGAATTATATTATTATAGAAGTGTCTAAAAATCAAAATTAACACTTTTATCTCTTTTTTATTTGCCTTAGTTTCGTTTGCGAGACTTTAATAGATTTTTTTATTACATTTTTCTTTTACTGCTTTCTAATATATGTATATATTCGTTTCAAACAGTTGAAAATCAGTTCATTTTTTCATTAAATTGGTCATTACTTATCTTGTAACAATACGAGAATAATACTGCGCAATTTTGCATTCCGCATTTATTTTGGGTCTTTTTGTTTTTAATTGCCTGTTGGTATAGGTTTAAATATTATCAATACCATTTACATCCGAGTTTTATCTGTTACTCCATATTAAAATTTTCCATTGTGGTGCTATTTTAATTATTTATGCATCCAACCTCATTTTAATGCAGCAGGTGTTAGCTCTTTTATATTTGC